TCTTGAGACATCTGCTTCGTCTGATCAACCACACGCAAGAGGTGGAAACAGAGGAATAGTCTCATTATAAATGCCATCTACGCCAATGGTGTTAGATTTACATATGTTAAATGTAACTCAAAATAAAGATGATTGTAATAACTCACTGGATATTTTCTGATTACTAATACAGTAGCTTGAAAAGGTCTGATGAATTTACGAAGACAACAGTACATAAGAGGTCTGCTTTAGATGATCTTACGCATGAAATATTGATAAAGTTCTGCATGAATTGACCATAAAACGTAGCCAAAAAGAGACCTCCTTCGCCTAAGCTGCCATCTAGTGGTAGAATCTTTCAACTGGAAAAAACACATACCGATCCATTGGCACCAGAACACACACAAACAGGTGATGGAGGTCGACAAGTACTCGTTTCTATGTAAGGACGGCAGGGGTGGGGGGGGGGAAGGGGTGGGTTGGTGGACTACAATACCCGTGCCATAATAATTGCCAATCAGAGGACAGGAAACGTCTTTGCCCACCTGAACTCTTATCTTGGAAGGTTAATGATCACGGCAACAGTTAACAATGTTCCTCAGGTGTTTGTTGACAGGTGTTGATGATGACCTCGTTAATTTCCTTTGTTACTCACTTATATAAACCTAAACTTCTCTGTTTCTATCTGTGTTTACTTCCGGTTATCTGGTTTTTGGTCTGTCCAAGTGTCTCTCCGTTCTATCCACTATCCCTTAAGTAATATTCTATACATCATAATGAGAAGCACCTGAAAGATGGAATAATCCTGCTGTCTTAACTCAAAAATACAATCTCTATACTGTTCAATCATACCTAACCCACAAGTGTTACAGTACTTACAGTACTACCATTCCATATTTTTGCACTGTGTCTGAAGTTATCTGAAAACTCGAAATCCCTGAACTCGAGCTTTGCGTTAACTGCCACACGACAAAAAATAAACTGAAAAAGAGCACAGCTTTTCTTCTGATATAATAAAGAACAGAATCTACCACAAGTGCGGTACAGAAAGTGAAAATATAGAGATAAGTATATCACAAAGGTAAATGGAGGAGGAGGAGGAAGGTATGAGGAGGAGGAGGGTGGCAGGTTCGGGGACTTGGTTGGCGCAGATGGTCATTACCAGCGCAACATAGCAATATTGGTGGCGGGCGTCGTGAGCTATGCCCCAGCCGGTGTCACTGATTGCTACGTTCACATCCGCCTGACGCCCCGCCACTCCTGCCTTATTCATGGTTCACATACTCCTGTGGTCGTTCTTCCTCCTCTTGAGGTTTAGGCTACTGAGGGAGGAGGGTAATGAAAGTCTACACTAGTGGTATATATATATCAGATTTATGAATATTTGGGTGTGGTTATGAATGCATCAAAATGAATATGTACCCTGTATATATACGTTGGTATATCTTGATTATGAGTAGTAGTAAGTGACTAGGTTTTGGGTTTTTTATATATGTAATTCATCTTTCTCTGTGTTGATATCGGTCTCCATTGACGTTTCTCTTGTTTTTACTCGAAAATTAGAGACGGCTGAATCTTGAAAATTATAGTGTTGTTACTTCTATTTGATGGTTTATTTTAAATTATGAGGCGAGGTTACCTCATTGGAACCCAAGTTAACAAGGACAAGATATGGGTTTATCCAACTCAATACTGTACTGTATTACGTATCTATCTGTCTGTCTGTCTATCCTATGTTTATACGATTTACATCCATCTAGCTCCCTCTCTTCCTTCCTACTCCCCCCCCCTTCATCCTTTCCTTCTTTCCTTCCACCCTTCCTCATTCCTCCCTTTCTTCATCCTTCCTTCCTCCTTCCCTCCCTTCCTCGTTCTCTTCCTGCCTCCTTCCATTTTACCTCCCACCCTACCTCACTCCTTCCTTCCCTTCATCCTTCCTCCCTCCCTCTCTCCCTTCCTTCCTTCTACCCTCCCACACTTCCTCCCTCCTTCTCTCCCTTCTTTTCTCCCTCCATCAGCCCCTCCCACCCTCACCACATGCGTGCGTTATCAGCTTCACTCACCTTCCTCCTTGCTTGCCCCATCTCCTTCACCCATCTCTTCCTTCCTCCCTGTCACCTCCTCCACTACCTCACCTCCTCCCGCTGTCATCACACCTCAGCTTAATTCACCAGAATATTAGACACTCCAGCCCATTTCAGCTGAATTTAAGACACTCCAGCTTATTACACCTGAATATTAGACACCCCAGCTTATTTAACCTGAATATTAACTACCCTATCGTCAACTGGGTGAGGAGGTGGGATTAGATTAGACTAGGTTATGGTTGGGTAGGTTAGATTGAGTTAGATTACGTTACGTTAAGGTGTAACTAGTTGGGGTGTCTAATATCCAGGTGAAATAAACTGGGTTGTCTAATCTCCAAGTCATCAACTAAAACTCCACATGCACTTAAACCTTCGAGGACTGAAAAGGTTGACAAAGAATGATGAGAAAATATTGAGTCGTGTTGCAAGTTTCTGTGTTTTGTTACAAGTTTCAATTGACATTTAGAGAGATTTATCTTGAAATCATAGCTAGACTAAGAGTGTAGGAACACGAAGAGAATTTTTATATTATCCGATGAACTGAAAAAAAAAAGAATGGGGACGCAATAGTCATATGTAGTTAGAATTTTATATAAAGGTTAACAAGTTTGAAATATCAACGAATTTTTGTAAACATAACTAACAGACAGAAGATGCTACGGTGGTCTTCAAAGGTCAAATCATTCATTCAGAGATCGAAATTTCTCAAAGACATAAACGAGACTTGATCAGACGCAATTCTTACCCCTATACATACTTTACACCAGTTCATCATGAAATACTGGACACGCACTGGACAGACTCAGAAATAAATCTAATGAAAAATTAATCCAGGCGAGGCAGTCTTTGGCCTTCGCTGTGCCTGTGTTATGGCCAGCTTGTAGTACCTGTGTCATAATCAGCTTAGTAGTACCTGTGTCATAATCAGCTTAGTGGTACCTGTGTCATAATCAGCTTAGTGGTACCTGTATCATAATCAGCTTAGTAGTACCTGTGTCATAATCGGCTTAGTAGTACATGTATCATAATCAGCTTAGTGGTACCTGTGTCATAAGCAGCTTAGTGGTACCTGTGTCAAAATCAGCTTAGTGGTACCTGTGTCATAATCAGCTTAATAGTACCTGTATTATAATCAGCTTAGTAGTACCTGTGTCATAATCAGCTTAGTAGTACCTGTATTATAATTAGCTTAGTGGTACCTGTATCATAATCAGCTTAGTAGTACCCGTATCATATTCTGCTTAGTGGTACCTGTATCATAATCCGCTTAGCAGTACCTGTGTCATGACCAGCTTAGTAGTACCTGTGTTATGGCCAGCTTGTAATACCTGTGTCATGACCAGCTTAAGTAATACCTGCCATGACCAACAATACACAATGGTCCCCTACATCTCGAGAAGGTAGTGTCGTAAACATAGTGAGGTCCGAGGTGTGTGTGTGTAGTTAACGCTCGATACCTATGATCATCAAAATTACTACCGCCATATTTTCAAGGGAACTGAGTGAGTGTTCGTTCATCATATTAGTGTTGCTAGTCTCGCCACGCTAAAGCGATTTTATAGTCATTTGGTGGAATTATTCTTGTTTTCGTGTTTTTAGTTGATACGTTGTTTTATTGTTTTATAAATTGCAGGTAAATAAATTATGATGTTTATTGTGATATAATACTGCGGATGGAATATGCCGTTATAGTCAGGTAAAACTATGATATGCCATCTGTTTTAGGCTGTAAGTCACTTAATGTGTGGAGTCCTGTCATGTATATGTTCCTCAGCGACTCTCTAAACGGAAAATAAAATAACAGATGCTCAAAATCAAAGCTCATCTCAGTGTTCATTAGCAATGGATGAATAATTTTGAGTCTTTTCCTCGTCACGCTGAATACTAGATGAATCAGATTACCTACCACTAATTAACTTGGGATGCGGGTGGGGGCAGGATAGGATCGCTAGCGCCAACACAAAATTTAACACCTAATTATCACAATTTAGCTTCTGCAGGTTAGGTGTTAACTATGGAGAAACAATTTACATAATTTCACTTTGCGCTATAAATTTCTAACAAGTAACAAGCCGATGAAGGAGAAAATATTTGTTCTCCTAACAGGAATTCACATTTAGCTTGAAATTTTAGTTTACCTCTGAGGTGAAGGGAACACACCCGGTATGTTTTCGGACTTTTTTTTCATAATAATTCGATTCCCTCACACGAAAATAAAGAAGGACTGACCTTTAAATGAATTTCACACCTCTTTTCAGGGTGTCTTTAAATGTTGGTTGGTGGAAGAACAGAAAAGGTGGATCACGTATTTCCACAGTTTCTTTTTTATCACCTAGTTAAGCTGGGGTGTTTGTCCTGGCAGGTAGGAGAGGGAGAGAGACGGACGGCAACAATCTCTACACTTGCTGGAATATCTCGTCTGAACTTTGTGTTGCTCTGAGGAGAAATAGAACCGACGAACAATATACTTAATTATACTCAGAAATATACAGCTATTTTGAATCTTCCTTCATGGTATACGTATACTTCAGTACAACGAGATGTAGCAAGATTATATCAACACAAAAACAAACATTTAATATGAACTACCGTTCTTTGGAAGAAATAAAATGGTGGCTAGTATTATTATTATTATTATTATTATTATTATTATATTATATATATATATATATATATATATATATATATATATATATATATATATATATATATATATATATATACCAAATAAAAAATTATCCCCAAATTTGAGTTTTTTTCGATAATCGAAGTTCATTAAGATGCATCGGGATGTAACTATATTACTACAACAACAATCATATAATAAACGAAAAAACAAATATTCGGTAAGTTTTCGTAAGACCAAAAAATTGCAGTAACTATTTTAGATATACAGTATATATAATTAAGTCTTGTTTTTCTTGAACCCTGCAGGAGAGACGGTGACGGAGGATCCTGTGTGGGACATCCGACACATCCTGCCGGAGGCGAACCTCGAGAACAACACTGTCACTGATGTTACTGCAAATGTGGGAGATGTAGCTCACCTTCCCTGCCGCTTCCCTCAGCTGTCTACACTCCATCAGGTAAGAGGTGAGAGAGAGAGAGAGAGAGAGAGAGAGAGAGAGAGAGAGAGAGAGAGAGAGAGAGAGAGAGAGATAAACGCAAATGGGTCGGTTACAGAGTCAGAATAATAAACTAGGTACAGTATATAGACACCATGCAGAAATTGGTTGAAAAGGGAGAAGGAGAAGAATAAATGGTAGTGAGATATTGATACCAAGAGAGGGAGAGAAGCCAAGGGAATCAGGAGAAGACGTGAAAGGAGTAAGACAAAGAGAGACGGAGAGAAATGCATGCATGGACAGAAACAGAAAGAGAAGATGAAAGAGAAATTCTCACTGTGCAAAAAAGAGACAGAAAGAAAAATAATATTTGCAAGTAAAATAAGAGAATACAGAGAGATTGATGTACTGAGAGACCTCGGGAGAGAGACACACACAGGGAGACATATAGAAGAAGATACAGAGACATAGGGAGATACAGAGAGAGACTAAAAGGCACACAGGGGATGAGACTAGGAGACAATCACAAAGAAGTAATCTAGAAAAAAATCGAAAACAAAACCAAAATAAGAAAGAAAAAAGATAAATAAATGAAGACTAACACACACACATACACACACACACGTACACACACACACACACACACACACACACACACAAGGAGACAGAGGGGAGACAAAGATAAATGAGGGGAGAAGCAAGACAAAGAACACGTATCCCCGTCTCTACTAGTCTTGCAACTTCCCTTACCAAAGCAGGCGAGAGAGAGAGAGAGAGAGAGAGAGAGAGAGAGAGAGAGAGAGAGAGAGAGAGAGAGAGAGAGAGAGAGAGAGAGAGAGAGAGAGAGAGAGAAATCATAAAGGAAAATGGTGAAGAAAGAAAACAGTGTGTTTGTGTGTATATAAGGGAGAGGTCGTAATAAGATTAACGAATTAAAACTGTAACAAAGGAACGAAAAATGCAAAGAAGTGACAGAGAGAAAGAGAGAGAGAGAGAGAGGAGGTTCAGCGCGATTCACAAGGGAGAAATTATAGAAAGAAAATATAAAGAAATAAAGTTGGCTGTCCAAGACGACATCATAGACAAAGGAAATGATAAGTTGGAAACTGGAATAAAAACAGGAGAGAGAGAGAGAGAGAGAGAATTGCCGGGGAGAAAGGTTTAAGGTTTAAATTTTCAGTGTTGGTGAGGTAAGATGTTTAGAGAGAGAAAAAAGAGAGAGATAAAAGGAAGAGAGAAGGGAAAGAGGTAGATAAAAGAGAGAAAAGAAAAGAAAGTTCTACAAAAAAATATAAGTTCCCTGAAATGGAAAATTAAAAGAAAGAAAGAAAGAAAGAAAGAAACAAACAAACAAACAAACAAACAAAGAAGGTAGCGGTGAGAAAGGAGAAAGATGGAGTTTGCAGGTGACACAAATTTCCTGAGCTGGTAAGGTAAGATGTTCCGCAAGAGAAAGTGAGAGAAAAAAAAAACATAAAATTTAGAGAAAGAATCGAAAAGGTGAGAAATATTGAGAGAAGGTGAGAAAGAAAGTAAGAATGAAAAGATAGAAAAATATATAATTAAAGAAAAAAAATTGAGAAAGTGGGAAATAAAGACTGGATAGAGAGACATAGAGAGAAGAGATAGAAATAAAGAGAGAGTAACAGATAGAGAGGAGAGATTAAAGAAATAGAGAAAAAGAAAAAAAGAGAAAGTAATAAAGACAGTGAGAGAGAAGGGGTAGAAATAAAAAGAGCAAGAGAAAGAACAGAGAATAGTCAACACTGGTAAAACATAATTAACACAGGTATATAGACGTAAAAATAAGCTTAACTCACTTACTATTTAATCCAAAGATAAACACCTCACACCTAATAATAACCAACTTATCAATTACATCAAAATAAGACAACTTTTACCTACAGCCAAATCAAAACCTCCAGCACATAATAATCCATTCAGACGCAAATATTAATTCTCAGGGGAGTATTAATTTACATTTCATTAACCTATCTCAACGTCTAAAGTGGTTTTGCTAGAGAACTTACAGGTGTTCAAGAATCGCAGATAATTCATTGGTTGTTGTGTAGGTTAGTGAAGGGATAACTAACCACAATACTGTACACACCTGTGGCTGTTGATGATATAACTCCAGAAAAACACTCGTTGTTGATGTGTGTGTGTGTGTGTGTGTGTGTGTGTGTGTGTGTGTGTGTGTGTGTGTGTGTGTTCGATGTTAACAGATAAGCAATATCGACCGTACCTTTTAACATGTCTGGCTTCTCAAGTACAACATATGCGATTATCATTATTCACTATTATACTGTGACGTGAAGCTGAAGCGGGGATCATCCAGTAAAATCTCACCCATGACTTATATGAAATGTTCACACAATTACTATCACTTACCGATATTGTACACACACATGTAATTACAAGCCTGACTTATCCCGAGAAGCAGATATTCATTAATGCCAACTACACGAGGCATAAACAGTTCTATTTAAGTACAGTATACAAATACATGCGCATGAATACATAACATAAATTCGATGCTGAGAGTTAATTTATGTATCGTCGTTGAGATCACGTGAGGTAGTGTTCCCATCCCTCTGGTTTATGTCACGTTATCTCACCGTAAAAAGTTGAAACACAAAGTAATGACTAAAATAGAGTTTGTTTTTGATGACTTAAATATCTGGCAAATATGTGAATGAAGAGATGAATCATATATATATTTTTTTTTCGTCTGGGGGAAAATCTAATTCGTTGAGACAGATCTTAAAGCCAAAACAAGAACCAATAAATCGAGACATGATTTTCCTACCGTCCTCTTCTCTCTCTTTTTATCATCCTTCTTTTTTTTCTCTCTCTCTCTCTCTTTCTCTCTCTCTCTCTCTCTCTCTCTCTCTCTGTAATCGGCATCCTTTCAGTTGTGCTATATACCACACATAACTTATGCACTCGTCATAACTGTGGGAGTAAGACACTTACTTGTAATAGTCTGTGTGCGTGTGAAACTAGTCTGAGTGTTATATGCCAAGTGTATGAGAGACACAGTGGTTTGTTGAAGCTCTTTCTCGTCTAAAACAAATAAAACTCTAATTTTAAAACTTAACTCGTATTAAAAAAAATACACAACGGAATACAAGAATATATTTCTCGGTGGTACAATTCACTAAAATGACAGATACTACGTTAGAGCGACGCGACATATACACAATGGTTCATTATACATGATCAAGTTTTTATGAATGTTTCGAAATCATTTTGTACTGAAGGGACATGAATACAATATTGACTTATGATACTACTAAGAGTCTCTGTTACTGTGATTCCCGCCTAGAGTCACACACTCAGGTCAACATTATTTTCTCTGTTACCTTTACACAGAATTATATATATATATACTCTTTATCATTATTATTATCATTATTACTATTATTATTAATCCCACTATTGGTGAAAGGCAAGAATTTTTGTTACAGTATCACACTTACACCATAATAGAAAGTTTAACAAATATAATACGTAAATTATTAGAACATATGACTCCCTACTGACTGTTAGTGACGATGCTTGGCTGACACTTGTATGCCACATGTTTCTCACAAAAATATAAACTACAACACTATAATATATTTTTCGTTTCATATGATTGTGAAAGGCAATATATATACTTTGTAATTCTTAATATCGAATAAAACCTAACAAACTATTTTTTTTATAAGGTTTAGTTATAGTATCTTTTATATTATCTCTAGACTGTAATGATACTACCAGAGAGAAACTTGGGATGGTTATTACAGATGTTGATGATGTTACCGTGTTTGTTACGACGTTATAAGGCATTTATTGTTATGTTTATTTAGCAACATTAATATATAAATTAGTGTTACTGATATAATTTATTTATTTCAAAGTATGATCATTTTGGGAATTCTAGAGGACTATAATTACAGCCTTCCTACATTCTGAAAATTATAAAGGACATTATTAATAACATTTGGCCATGGAATTCAATAGCTGCTATCATCATCATGTTCCAAACTTGGTGATTCAACTTTATTCGTTTATCATATCTTTATATTTTGAGGTGAAAATGTGGCGATAAGTTTTCTTACTGATTGCACTTTGGTCTGTATTGCTTCCTTAAATAAGTATATTGTGATTTAGGCAGCCTGTTAATATTTTAGGGTTAAATAACAACTATAATAAAACGAAATTTGGCTGGCTGATATTTTGCGACGATCCCAAAATCAAAAAGACAAAACAAAAATGTGTTTAATTTTGTTACTTGCCAGGAGTAAAATTTTTGCAGCAAGAAATTTCTCTATATTTTCCACAATCTTTCCATGAAGATGAGGTGATGTTGTTTTTAGTTCCCCGCAGAGAAACACTGATTTATAATTAATGTTATTATGATGATGGTGGAGAGAGATGCCACAACAAAGGGTGAGGCAGTGTTGCTTTTATATAAGAACTTCGAAATATTTGTTATTAATATTATCATTATTATCATTGCTATTAACTAAAGTTTTTCGAGTGATGGTGTTATCTTTCAGTTGATGTGTTGACTCATCCAGACTGTGATCATTAAGAGTAACATTCTGACACAAGGAATATTTCCTCCTCTCAAGGCTTAGCTTCCTAAAGTCGTTGTTGCCGGAGTTCAATATTTCACAGCAGCACAACTCTCGTTACTAACTGTTAAACAATTTCGTTTCAGACAAAGGGTTAAGACGACAAATTCACTGGATGACTGGAGCTTCTGTGCCCACTTTCTAGTCTCTAAAAGTGTCAGGAAATATAATAAGCGGAACACTCGTGGCCGACATGTTGGCAAAAGGCTAAACTGAATTTTCAGGGAGAATCGCTTTTCCGAAAACTTTGGTATTTCATCAAAGTTGCATAACTGTGGATAAAGGGAAATAATATTCCCTGAACACAACAGTCAGGATCAAACGTCAAGTATAGAAAACTCTGTTTCATTATATTACATATATACATTTTCCTTGCGCTTCACTCGTGGAGTTATACACTTTGCTTAGTTCACTGTTGCTGAGCTGGTATGATTCACAAAGTTAGCTGTACGAGGAAATAAAAGCTCGGACAATTCTCTTAACAGTTTGGTGGGATACGAACACGCAGTCTAGATAAATATCATAAGCAATATCATTGTGATATATTAAATATCTTCAGCTCACAATATGAGTGTATGTATTATTTTAGTACTTTTGTCACAGGTTGTTTAATAATCTCTGTCACTAACGTGAGTATTGCTTATGTTTCCTTGAAACTCGCTTTTATATTTGTAGACTACCTATATATTTCAGGAACACTTTAACATTTATATAACGTAGCTCAGCCTTTAGATAACTAAATATACCTATGCATGCTTATACACTAAATAAATACCATCACAATACCAAGTTATATGTATATATATATATATATATATATATATATATATATATATATATATATATATATATATATATATATATATATATATATATATATATATATATATATATATATATATATATATATATTAAATTTATTTGCATTATCTTCTTTACAAATTACCGGGGAACCACAGAAGGTATTTACAGCTCGTGTTGTTCCACCCTCCCTCCCCCCCCTCCGCTACCCAGCACACCCCACCCTCCCCACCAACCACCTTTACACCGTCGTACTAATAAACTTTAGCAAATTCACCAGGGCACAACAAATAAAAAACAAAAATCAGATGTTAAAACATAAATAAGTTGATGGTGAAAATGTAAAAGTTTTTTCTCGCTTTTTCTTACCTTTTTTATACGATTTATTTTCCCCACAGAAGCAAAGCCTTAGTGAGTACAGCATTTGCTTATGTTTCATACTAGACTCTGGGGTGCCTCTCTTCACCATACTAGACTGATTAGTTCCTTACTCATTTCTTGTTATAACACGGCCGTCTTTCCCTTCTGTATAAGGACTGAGCACCTGATAACCTCCTAAAACACACCATTATTGAGATTTTAAATGAACATCACTGTAACAATGGCCATTAATGTATGTGGTGTGCCAATAAACAGAAAGAGATGGCCTAGTTTACTGCGGTTGTTATAATGCGGAAATAAATAAATCAGTCGTTTTAAATGCAACTATGTACTAAAGTCTGGAAATGTTATAACAACCAGCAGAGGTCAAGTGCTTCAGCAACAATCTCTGAGTCTCCTTCCTCAATCACCTATAAGACCCATCACAAGCGTAACTTATCAGGTGTAAAAGTCCTTAATATTCTTTCTTACAAACTTTATAATGCAAACCATAAGCAAATGCATAAGTCAACATTAACTTAAGCCACTTAAATATTCAACTAAATACAGCATGGAATTTATCATGGTAAAGTTAAACCACTTAAAATATTCAACTTCATTTAGTGAGGTCAGGTTTACTTAAATCTAGTGGTGGTAAACTAATAAAACATGTTCTCTCGAGCGTGCAGGAACTAAGTGGTAAGGCGTGTAAGCTGCTATATATTCGTATGATAACACTACAGGAAGAAATAAAGACTAATGTGGCATATATCACGTGACGGGGTGAAGATATTGACACAGGTGGACACATGATCGTGCTACAATAATCAATATACAAAAGGGAAGAAAATAATTACTTAAATGTTTTTCAGTAAAGGGTTGAGAAGCTTAACGACTTGTGCCACCAGAGACGTTGGGGAGGAGGGGGGGTAGAAGTGACAGGAGGTGAAAAATATGAGGGGGAAGAGGTGAAGGGGAGATGGCGAAGATGGGGAAGGGGAAGAAGGGGAAAGGAAGAAGGATAGAGAGGAAGGTAAGAAGGGAGACATAGTGGAGGGAAAAGACGGGAGCGGATAGGAAAGTAGAAGGGGAGAAGAAAAGGACAAAGTGAAAAGGAAGAAAGGGAGAATGAAGTGAGATTAAAAGCGGAATGGAGTGAAGTGTAAACGTGAAATAGAAGGAATAAAAGAGAGAAGGCGAAAAGGAAGGATAGAGGGAGAAGAGAAAAAGGTCGGAAAGAGTAAACGTGAAATGGAATGAATTAAGGAGGATAGGAGAGACAGAATGCTAGAGAGGGAGTATTGTTAAAGGGAGGGAAGAAGAGAATGAAAGATTTAGGAGGAGAATGGATGAAAGGAGGGAAGGAGAGAAGGAAGGATAAAGGAGGAGAATAGAAGTAAGGAGGGAAAGAGAGACGGAAGAATAGAGGAGGAGAATGGGTGAAGGGAGAGAAGAGGAAGAAGAAGGAGAAAGGGAAGTCGTGCGTCATCAGGGTTCCCCCACTGCGTCATCCGAGTTTTCTCAAGTTGTCCGTAAACTTGTTAGTGTCTAGACTTTGATCGAGGACTTTTCACATATGTTTGGAACTTCTCAGGCAAGGATTCAATTAATTTGGAGCCCTTAGGGGGGAAGATACGTTAACCCTGATACTGCTTATAACCCTTATTATAATGTGTACGTATACATCAATATATATAGTCTGTAGGCCTATATAAATTTATTGTTGTAGAATCTATATATCTTCCTGAAGTTCCTGTAATACAAGAAGTTACATTAGGGTTTGTGATTTTTGTTAAGTCTCGTGGCCATCCTCACTGTAATGTCTCGTGGCCATCCTCACTGTAATGTTTCGTGGCCATCCTCCGACTAACAAAAATATTCTACAATGTTAGGGTAGTCATGATAAACATTTAAACACTGTCTATAAACCCATTTAGTATATACTGTATACTGAATGGAAATACAGAATAACATTTATTTTGGTATTGTGAATTGATGTATTGTATTAGTGTTGCAACAGTTTTGGCCTTTAAGCGTAAATTCGATGTTCGTAAATAGTGTAACAAGTTATCAAGAATTAAAAAGTAAAATAGATAGATGATTTATTATAAGTAAAACATTATCTTAATACTTGACATTGGAGTTAACCTTTGATATGGTAGTGAGGGTGACGGTACAAGGCGATTGGTCACTATTGAGTAACTTCCAGTAGTCATCCGTGTTGATAAAGTAACGGAGGAATGTGTTTATCAATATGCATGTCACGAAGGAGATATTTTCTTAGTGTCTGTATATAAATATCCTTCTTTACAAGTACCTTTATCATGGTAAGAGTCGCATGTTGAATAATAAAAGATAATATACAGTAGTTTACGTATAATAAGAAGGCTTGAGTCACCTTCCTTATACTCCCTAATACCATCTGGGTAGAATTTTAGTCTCCTTCCTCCACACTCCCTCACTGCAAGATTTCATTTAGATTATTATAATTTATACCCGGAATAACTATATCCCTCGTCCTGTTAGTTATTTAAAAATTCATGACAGTTACATAAAAAGGTGTTTGTGTTTTGAATGTCAGACAATGCTCTGTGTTCGTTTGTAAATGAACCAGATATTTAAACTTTCATTTCCTAAACCTCTTCTGAATTCTGTTTGTTTTTCAGAGCGATAAATTATTATTTTTTTTAATATACGTATATACAAATAAATAGTATTCCCAATATTGTGTTTAATGACTTGTAATCTATATGACATCTCTATCTTACACAACAACATCCTAGGGTATACACCTCGCTTACTCTCACGTTGCTCCAGTCTATACACTCAAGACAGCGGCTCTTCCTAATTTCTCTCTTAGGATTATCATTCTTATGTTTATTATTTCTTACATCTTATTTCTCATTAGATCTTTCGTCCGATCTCATAAAAAAAATTGATATATTTTATTCTTATTATTGTTTGTTTCTCATGGTACTGTATATGATGTGGCATTAATTATGGCTTAATTTGCTTGGAAAGTCGCATTACTAAACTCTTCTGCCTATAAAACTTTTCCTTGTACAGATTTTTTCAAACAAATTTTTTCGTAATATTTCTAAGAAAGTATTTTACGTTCGCTACATATTTTTTTTTTTTTACATATTTTCCGTCTTGTAGGATCATATTACTCCCATCCATTTGTGTTTATGGTTATGTTTTTCATACTTAGTACATTATTATGGTTATTTTATCCACATCTTTACCGTTTGGCCTTCATTATATCTTTATCTTTTATTTTGCTAGTTATTTACCGTCATCCTTTCTTCTGCTTTACTAAATACACCTCATATCACCGTCTGTTATTTTATTAAGAACTCACTTTCATAGATTTACTTATTCCTCAATTTATCTATTCTCCTCTTTCCATATACAGTACAGTTTTCATCAAAGCTATCCTCATTCTCCTTGTTCTTAGCCTGTCTATGCAGTTTTACGGTTCCATGGTTCATCATTGTGCCATAGTGGTGGATGTACACACACACACACACTCTCTTCAAAGGAGCTATAAGGATGGGTCCGATAAATTTCATAATGAACACTGTAACTCCTGTTGTCTCGGTAGGGTTGTCAAAATCTTCGTCCGTTGTGTCACATTATCTCACACAAAATTGTAAAGATACTTGTTTGATTGTGTGTACAACTGTATCTTATTAATTCTGACACACATAATGTCTATATCTTATTACATACTAATCATATTTCGTTGACTTAATAATGTACTACTACTATGCTTCAACAACCATGGGATTTTTACCCGTATTCTAGGTCAGTATTTAGTCTAGAATTTTAAGATATATCTCTCTGGTTCATCCTAAGACATCATCTTTATACCCTTCAGCTCTCACAATGATGATGACTCAGCTTCTAATCAACCAATCCTTGTTGAAAATATCACCCAACTGTTAAATGATTTGTAACCTCTTCATCACCTGCTCGGCCACTCATATTTCACAATTATGTTTCCCTTTCTCAAATCCAACGATCTTTATTTTTAGTGTTTAGAATGATTTATCTTTTTCCTACACCCCTAATTGCCTTTAT